CCCTACAGAAAGTCCTTCCCTTTGCTCTTCACCAAGAACATAGAAAAGCCCAAATAGTGAGATTAAATCTGACCAAGCCTGTCTTGGAGGAAGAGCAATGCATGCCAGACCACTTCTCTCAGCAGCTAAATGAGGACAGCTCCCTACTGAGCAGAATGTCAATGTCAAGTGGAGAGCAGAGGAGAAAAGCTGAGTTTGAGTGAGATGTACAGATGGTGCCTTTCTTGGGATTTGGAGAGTAATACATACTAAACTCTGTATTGTCCTGGCGAGACCAACCAGTGTAATGCACAACTTGGCCAAGGGTAATGTATTTCTACGTATTAGTTGCCCATGGGAGTACTCATCTGTTCCTATGATTTTGAAATGCTTTACTTACAAAGTGTTTGACCAAATATTTATCCATAGGACTGACTGATGGAATAAGAGTGAATGAAGACATCATCTTCTCACCAATTACAATGGTATTTTATGACACTTTCAGAGTAACAACTACGTAGCCTTATAGGTTACTTCTCTCCATCATAGTTCAGCACATGATATTCCCGCAGGGTAGACTTCCAACAGCTATAAAGCAAATTAAATGGCAGTACTGGCCCTCACGGAAGGTGATCAGGGAAGTCTTAAAAACAGCGGAACTTTTAAGTGTAAAGCAGTAAACCTCAAGTTGTTAACACTGCATAGATATCCTGGCTCTTTTCCTGTTAAGTTTTCATTCCTCTTAATTGATGACATTTTTAGTTCTATAAAAAAATGTAGGCTGTCAAAATATGGACTTGTTAATTTCATGGTACAATCTGTCTTTATAAATTGTTTTCTTTGGCCGGAAATGATACAACAATTTCTGATCCTCTTTAATATGCCACATCAAAGTTTGCCCATGGATCCTTTTAAGAGCTTGGATTTGTAGACATTTTGTGAAGCCAGTCTTTAACTAAAATTACTTAAAACTAAATTGTGCCAAAGGGTTAATGAGTTCCCATTATGAAACATCTGAGTACTACAGATATGTGATTTGTATCCAACAGCCCTGATGCTGCTCCTGGAAAAAGACAATAAAATAAAAGCTAACCTTTACTGATGAGCTTAGTGTGTGCTGAGCACTGTGTTAAACGTTTACACAGATTATCTTACTCAACCTTTGTGATGTAGTAAGATATAGATATACTATTGTTAGCCAGACAAAACTATGATTTAGAAATTAAATAACTTGCTCAATATTGTACAGTGGCAAGTGGTGAAACCAGGATTTGAGGCCAGGTAGCCAGGCTCAGGAGCTGATGGCTTGCCCTAGAAATAAGAACCAAGGAATTATCCTAGAAATAAGTGCAAAGACTGCTTCTTCAAAAAAGTTATTCATTCTGCAGTTGAGAGAAGGCTTTTTTTAAGTGAGTGAGATAAAAGAAACCAAACTTTCACCATTGATTGTCAAGTGAAGGTTCACTTAACCTGTAACAAGAGTGTGTGGAGGTAAAAATGCAGCACACAAGATATCATCTCGGTGCTGTATTCCTCCTTTCCATTCTCCAGGCTGGATGAAAAATTGATTGAAGTTCTGAGGTCGAAACACAGTAATAGCCCTGTAAAAAGGATACAGAATTTAGCTGTGGATCTAAAAATGATATAGATATTGAGTAGTCATCACCATCCACTTGGGTGGTGTGACTTGAGAGGTCTAAAAGACTACGCTACCCCGAATTTTATTCTCACATGTCATCCATACTACTAAATTTCCCTCACTGAACTTCCTTTTGAATTCTTTCATTGAATTCTCTAATAAACTCTGAATATTTAGTATTAGAAGGTTAATTATTCTTTCAAGATCATTAACACCAAGTATACATGCATTTATCAGATTAATTATCTCTCAGCAAAACTCCAAATCAAAGTTTCCCCATATTAGTACCATAGAACCACTAAGTTTTGTGACAGTGACAATAAAAAAAAAAAGAGGATGGGTCCATGAACACATAATATTTGGTAGTTTGAACAAAATTGATAAGGTTTCATTTCATCAGAGTGTCCAGAACATTCCCTGTGGTATATCCCAGACTTAATTAACCACAGAGTCCTTTCTCATACAGCATCTTGAAGAACTATCATTTGTGGAACACACTTAGGAATTGCCATTCCAAAGGAATGGTACACAGGACAGATACATTTTCAACAGAAATAATCATTTTAAGAAGGTCAGTATCTTAGAGCACGGTTGGTGAGTTTGAAAACAGGCTAGGATGGACAGAGAATGAAGTGCCCAGTGCCTGGAGGGGAAGAGAGGAGCTCAAAAATTAAATTGTAGGAGCATTTATACCACCCTGCTTCCACTTTTTTTGAGCTCTGACTATCAGCTTATGCTAAACCTCTCCCTCCTGCTAAAATCACAATCGCTCAAATGAGCATGGGAAGGCTTGGTGTCCCTTCACCTCCCTGAAATCTTGCTTCTATTCCCGCCACTTTAGAGCTCTCCCGATTGTCCTATCAATGTAACTCCTTACTCTCTGATGAACGTGGCTTTCTCCTCCTGGAAAGTCTTATGTTTCTAGTATGTCCTGCTTCTTTTCCTGTCTCCCTGATCTTTCATTTGCTATTCTCTATTTTCCATCCCCTTCTTTCTCTCCCTACTTTTAATACGGACATTCCTTATTATCATTCTTCCAATCCATTTCTCTGCCCAAAAGGGCTTGTTCAGGGATTTTTTAGACCAACATGAGCTTCAATCTCTATTCTACACAAATGGTTCTTAAATTGATCTTCATTTATAACCTTTTTCCAGTGTTGGGTAGTTCTCCCTTGCCAGTTGACAGTGGCATATAATGCTCTCATCAGCAACATAGCAAAAATCCATAATTTCCATCTTCCCTCCACACCAGTCCTCCCTAAATTCTCTATTTTCATTAATAGACCAGAATTCCAGTCTCCTGTATGTCTTTCTCTTCCTCAGTCAAATAAAATATGCAGATTCTAACTCTGAGATATGCTACATTTTCATTCTTTTTACTTTAAACTGCCAATGACAGTTTCCTAGTTCAATGTTCACTATTTCATGAACAACTGAACAACTTAACAGCCTCTAACCAATTTTACTGCCTCTTGTCTCCCCACCTCCGGTACATTCTTTATTCTGCTACTAGATTAATCATTCCATTTTGGAAGCTCTTATATGTATTTATTCTACAAGCAATTCTTGTTTTCTCTGTGGAAGTTTCTATTCATGGTACTGCAGGGGATAGAGTCATGAACATAAAGTGACTAAAATGTAGTGAAATGTTATAAGTGCCAAAGAAGTACAGATCAACTGCCATGGAATTCCAGGTATAGAAATCACAGAAAGCTGAGTTGAGGGGTCACAATGGAGCTGGACCATAAATAAATGAGTGGTATTTGGAAGAGGAAGGCAATCTAGGCAGAATGAAGAAATAGCGTGATCAAAGATAAGGCTAGTACCCTGTTGAAAAACATTTGCTAGTTTTCTATTTCCTATATGAAAAAAATTAAAATATATGAGCCTGTTATTCAAGACCTAATAATAATTGAGTCTAATCAACTTATTTTAGAATTATTTCTCTCTATTCTTCTATTCTTGCTTTTCAAAGTAAAATGTGAATGTCAAACTAAATATTTGTCAGTTACTGGGAGCCTCAGGGTAAATACAGTGCACCTTTCTGAGTTAACTTTATTTGAAGATTTTTGGGAAAAATATTTTTATATTAAAATAAGGACAATGAATTGATGAGATAGAATGCAAAATTCACCTGGATTTTAAAAATAAAATACAAGAGTTCAAGTAAATTTCTTACTTGCAGGAGCCGTTTTGAACTATTACGGGTATCACCTAACAGTTCCAGGGGCTAAGTTCCCAAAGCGCATCTTCTTGTTCAACCCAAACAATATTGTTACAGCTCTCGAAGCACCCTTCTTGTTCTCCAAACACACTTCACATTTCTAGTTGCTTTGTTTCACTCATGAAGTGCTCTTTGATCTCTCTGTGGATTTCCTTCCAAACACAAACTCACTTCTACCTGTTCCCTAAGGCCTACCTTATTCTGGTAGACTTCCCTAATAACTAGAGTTGAAAGAATTGTTTTCCTCTTCTGATCTCTTACATGATTCACATTATACTTACAACATTTAAAAAATATTTGATAGTCTCCACTCCTCTGCTAGATTGTAAGCTCTCAGAAACCAGGGATTTTGTCTTATTCTGTAAACCCCATAGTAGCAAGCATAACAACCTATACATATTGAGTGTTCAATAAATATAAATCAGATGAATGAATGAAATATTCTGTGCTCAAATGTTGCCTCCTCGAGTAAGCCTTCCTTTGAGTCTCGCATCCCCCACCTATGTCACTTTTCTTTATTACACTATTATTATGCGATACTGTGGTCTAAGTTTGTCTCTTCCTTTTCTGTCTTTTCTATCATAAATAAGCTTTAAGAGAATATGGACTTCGACCCTCTCTGCATCAGCAGTGCCTAAAATGAATGTAATAGGCTTTTAATAAATATTTGCTGAATCAATGTATGAATAATTCTGTTTTTTAAATTGATAATTATTAAAATAACATTAATATGAGTCTTAGCAAGATAATATAAATAAGATATTTTGCAGTTCTGAAGTTGTAGTTAATCTCATAATGGCTTTATATGTATATATTTTTAATTTTCTCTTCACCAATTGGTAAATTTGGTTGAAGTGATTATCCCCTGGGAATGGAGACTATGAGGTGGGAGTGACAGGGACAAGGTCAATCCTATATCTCTTCTATTATCTCTTAGCCAAAATTCAATGTCAAATGTCTTTTTGCAGTGATACCCATATTAACTAGATGTATTTAGGAAGTACCACCCAAAGGCACAAAAATGCTTTTAGTGTAAAAAGTAGCCCTTCTGATAGTTGACCTTGTGTGTCAAAATGTCAAGAAACTAATTAGCTGCCACCTTTCCCTCAAAACCTAACCTGAAAGTTTCATTTGAAATGACAGTTATCCTCAAAATACCTTCAGAATCCACACTGTATTTCTAACTTTGTCCATTTCAAAGATAGCTTTTTTAAGTTTGTACTTTTGCCAAGAGTAAAATTAAAGTACAGAATGAACCAATTTTAAGGCCATTTGAGGAGTCTGAGAGATGTGTTCTTTCTGACTTTGAAGGACTTTACAATTTCCATTCCACAACTATCATTTAAAATCCTGAGAGTATTGCCACTGAGTCATCCTGTCATCTTGTGAAGATGATCATACCTCTAATTAGGAATTTAGATATAATGACCGATTCTGTGAGAACAAAATGAGTTTACCTAAGTATAAAACAATTTTAAAAAGAAAAAAAATGTTTTAAAAAATAACCTCTTTTAGGATGAATGAGCTAGAAAAACAGCTTTTACTAAAACTTATCATGTAGAAATTGTCATGGAAAGGACAAAAGACACAATCAACTATTTTCTCCCTTCGAGGTTAATTGTTCGTGTGTTGTTAAGACCAATTATCATAAGAACCTATCTATTGCCCTTTAGGCTTAAAGGGTGTGGCTCAAAGGCAGAGAACTATTTCAATATAAATTAGTTCATGTTTATTCTTTTTCCTTAAATTTGTGGAGTCAAATTTTAGACACTGAAACTATTGTAAAATTAGGTTTGAGGATTATTTGTAAATTTTGAACATATCTAGCCCCCTCCTGACCTCCAACATGGTTATTTAGAATAAGTCACAACTTTGGAAGTTTTCATTCTGATTCTTATCCTAATAATAGAAACCAGTTGAGTCATATAGGATTATAGTTCCTTACTAAGACAATTATTAAGGATTTAATATCTTGTGATAGATAAGTTTTATTGTTGTGAAACTTCAAATCCCCAATCTCATTTCATTTAAAAATACTTTCAGAAATCAAATTACATCAACATCTATTTATTGAGCGCCCAATTTTTACAGAGCTCTGAAGGATACTGATAGCAATAAAATTTTCTGAATTATTTGAAATTATATAAAATATTTTCTTTTTTTAGTACTGGTATAAGCCTAGATATTTTACAGAGGTAAAACATTCATGAACAACAATTTCTCCTTTAACAGAAAAAAAGAAATAAAGTTGGGAGAACTAAAAGTCCGAGTCTGTTTTTATAGAGAGTTGTTATGTATAGATTCATAGAATTTTAGGGTAGGATAAAATGTTAAACTATTATGATTATTTATTTGATTTTATCAGAATATACATATTACATGACTATTTAAATAAATGCAAAGATAATTGATTTACTATTCACTTAATTTTGTCAAAATAAATATAGTTAGGTATTTAACCAGGTAGTTTGTCATTGACCCTATGTCAATTCACAATTTCATCTCTAAGTACGGTTTGCTTAAAATGATAAGAAACACATTTCTAGAAGTTCTGAATTTGAGGCTCCTTTTTCCCTGACAGAAATATTCTCTAGATATGAATGACCATATTTCTAAATAACCAAGATGGGTAATTGCACAGTGGCATTTACCATATTCTGCCTTGTAGGTATTGACTCCCCAAGTAGAATGTGTTACCACTGAGAGTGCTTTCTATCTAACTGCACTTTAAAAATGCTTGTGAGAAGGAAAGGGGAAAAATAATGTTAAGCTAAAACTTTGAGGTACTGTTAATAATACATATTTTTGTATGTGCTTCTCCAAATTCACAGAACCCATTCATCAACTTTGATTGATATGCCCAACCTCCTCAATCAAATTATTCATTTAAAAGAATATAGTTTCTTCCATAATTTAATGACTTCATCTGCAACTCAGAAAAAATGCAAAGAACATGGACTTTGGTGTAGAATTCTAACTCAGCTGCCTATTACTTCTGTAACCTTGGCCAGACTACCCAACCTCTTCAAGCCTCATCTCCTCCCTTGTAAAAGAGGATTGGTAATATTCAGCTTTCTGATTTATTGTGAAAAGAGAATAGATTTGAATATCCATTTACTCTGCATGTGACCATGGGTAATTAGCTCTCTAATCCTCAGATTCCCTGCCTATTCAATAAATATTAATTAAATCATTCAACAAATACCACTGAGCATCTAATGAGCATCAGATACTATATATATATATGCAATATATGCTATATATATTATCACTGAGCATCTAATGAGCTCTAGACACTGTGCACATTAGATGCTCAATGACATTTGTTGAATGACTTAATTTATATTTATCAAATATATATATGATATATAAATCAAATATATATCTATGCATATGTGTGTGTGTGTGTGTGTGTGTGTGTGTGTGTGTATTCCTATGTTATATAAAATGTAGGAAACTAGAGAGCACCAAGACAGAAAGGGGGCATATTTCCATCCTGGTAGTAAAGAGAGATATCCTGGTGAAGAAGATGTATGAGAGAGACTTAAAATAGGAATAAACAGCCACATCGAAAAATGTTTGTAGAGAGATTTCTAGATAAGGAGAGAGAATAAAGGCATGGGGAAGAGATTTCTAGATAAGGGGAGAGAATAAAGGCATGAGAACATCCTGATGGCAGTTTGCTACTTGAGTTTATAATGTACATGAGAAAGAGTGAGAATGAAACTAAGAATAGGTCCAGGCTGGAGGGAACTTCAATTTACTGTGTAGACACTAAAAGGTGTCGAACAAGGAAGTGGCATCGATAGAATGCATTGTAGAAAGAAACTGTAGCTAAAATGTGCACATCTATTTAAGAGGCAAAGGGGGGTGGCATTACTGAGGAAAGGACAAATTAGAAGTCTGTAGAAATGATGCTCTGAATTACATAGTTGTAGTAGTAGTGGGAACAGCTTTGAGAAATATTTAGAGTATAGAATAGATAAGGCTTAGTAACTACTTGGTTGTAAAGTTGAGTGAGAAGGCAAAACCAAAGTGGATGTCTCTGGCTATTAACTGAATCCAAGAGGAGAAGTAGGTTTTGGAGAGGGGAATAAATAATACATGCAGTTTAGAATATGTTGAATTTCAAATTGCTGTCAGACACATCCAGCAAGCGAGCAGATAAGTGAGTTTAGAGAGATAAGAGCTAAAGATAGACACTTGAGATATCTATGAAATATTACATACCTCCTAAAATGAAGTTAAGAATTAAATTAGATGATGTCTGTAAAGTGCCACGTGTACAAAGCTCTATGAATAAAATAAAATTTCTATTTCATCCTGGGCAAAATTATCAAACCAGTGTCTTTATTTAGATAAAGCCTAAAGTTAAAGCTTCAGCTTGACAGTTTCCTGTGGGTTTTAAAGAAAGCTTAATAAACTGGCTGTCAATCTCTAGTTATTACTTCTCTAATCACTTAACTATTAAAGAGTTGGCTTAATTCACCATCCTTCTCCAGCTATCACCAAACAGTTGACCTGTCTTCTAGGCTTTTGTGTTAAATACCTCCTGGTAAAAAGGTCCCCACAACAATCCTCCAGAATCCATCCTAACATAAGGCCTCTGACTTAAGAAATATAATTTTTAAATCTAACAATATACAGTAAAATTTTATAATTGGGAATGTCTTCATTAACTTTCAATTCCAACTAAGGGATCCAAGTCCTCACAACTTGTGGAAGATGGAAAAGATGGAAAAGGTGGGAACATTGGTAACTTTTTCTTCTCTCATTTCAGTCTTCCCAAAGCTTCTTCCTCAGATTATAGAAACTTACCACCCACCAATATATATCAAAGCGTCGAGTATTCCTTTAAACCACTGTTAGATGACTCTAATCTTTTAAAAATTTTCCACTGTAAGCAAAAAGACTCTTAAATTTAATGATAATTTATACCTATGGATAACTAAAAAATATAATTAAGGTAATAGTATCTCCAAAGTTTTGACTCACAATGATTAATGTTTTCATTTTTTCGTTATGTTCAAAATTTAAATTGGCTCAGTTGTATACTGCACATCTACCCTGCCATGATATTACAGAATTAAACTTATTCATTGCCATAGCCTAATTACTGAAATCATTAGGCCATAGTCTGTTGGAGAGGTTATGAGCAGTTAATGGATCATGATTGCTCCCAGGGATGTGCAGAAGCCTTGTCTTTCAAAGATGAGGATGATTGAATTAGTTCTTAATATCAAGTAGAATAATCTGGACTACATTTTCTTTCTTTATAGTCAAACTTCCTCTGAAAACTAAGCTGCATGTGGCACAATGTTTTCTAGTATGTATATTCACATTTGCATTAGAAAAAAAAAAGCCTTCCATATGATTGATAAAAATTCCCAAGTATATACTGCTAGTTTTCTAGGTATAAAATCTGATTCAATCCTAGCTTCAAACGTTAAGATCATAATTCTGTAGTGAATAATGTTGAGCAAATTACCTATTAGAGTAATATTTTGTGAACTGTTGAATTTATGGACAATATATTTTCAAAACATCATACTTTAATTTTCCTAGTGCTTATACAATGTCATAGAAAAGGCCCTGTTTATGATCCCCTAGTTCTCTCAGGAAAAAAAAGAAAGAAAAGTAATTTTCCTCGTAATGAAATGGAAGAATTGCTCCTTGAGAACAGTAAGTGGGCTGTGAAAGGCCCTTCTCTGCACTGATGTGAAGGAGGCACTAACACAGAATTCAGTGGGCTATTTCCCTCTTGTGCTGCAATTTAAAATAAGTAACAAGAGAAGAAGAAATGAGGTTCTTTTACAGTTTAAGGAATGTAATTTATGCATTAAGAATTTATTGCCCATAAAATTTGGGAAACTCTTGGAGTTAATATTCAGGACGTGGTATTATATCCCCATCCAGAATGATTTTTTAAATAAGACAGATTCCTAAAGCCAGAAGAAAGTTCTTTAACACTTCTCAAAGCTGCCCAAGCGACATGATCTTATACTACTGTAGTCACTAAGCATTCAGTTGATTCCATATAAAGTTTCACTCACCTAGGTCAGCAGCAAGTTAATGACTCAGAATCAGTCAAGATTTCTATATTCTTTTTTCTTTTAGATTTTGATTTTACCTTCCTACTTTTGCATAAAACATATCATACCTGTCCCAGCCTATAACCAATATTGTCTTCTTAAGAACCAGGATCTGTGAAATATCCACAGCCCCCTCTTGCCCAACGTTTAGTGTGTGATGACAATATCCATTGAAGTCCCATACCTTAAAGAGAAAATTAAAACCACTGCTGAGACAAGAAAACAAAATGTCTTCAATGAGTAAAACAACATGGTATAATAATATTATTCCAAATTTTTGTATTTCCTTTCTGGACTTAGGGTTGATCCACTTGGGATATATAATGAGTAAAGAAAATCCTCTCACCAATTAAATTTAGCCATTATATTTATTACTCCATAAGTAACCCTGTCAGTCTATTCTAATGACACTTGATTTAAAGGTTAATGAATTAGTGCATTTTTTAGGGGGAGGGAAGTTAAAATCATGAAGAGCCACATTTTGAAGTCTGTTGAAATCCTGGTTCTTGCTCTAAGTGTATCTCTCTAAATTTCAGTTCCCCCATTTATGACACAGGAAACTTATTCCTCAGGGATCCTTGGAATTTTAAACATCTAATACAGAGCCCGAAACACAGTCATTATATACTAGGTGTCATATCTCCCAATAAAACCTGTTGATAGTGGGTGCTAGACATGATGCTACAGAGGTATAAGCAATTCTAGTTTACCTCCTCATGCTGTGGCGAGGATATAGATCCAATGAGTGTGCTTCAACAGAGAGTGTCATTAGGTTACAAAGAGTTAAAAACAAAGTCTGCTATGAAACATTGTTGGCACATCACACACAAAGGACAAGCTGACATTCTATCAAACTTAAAATGCACATACCCTTTGACTCGAAAATTCATCTTTTAGAAAATCATTGCGCAGAGGCATTCAAATGTGTAAAATGGCATATTTTGGAGAATATTCCTGAAGCATGGTTTATAAAAGTTGAAGATGTGAATCAACTTAGTTGCTTATTAACAAGAGACTCAACCTCAGAATAGGAATATCTATACAGTAGCACATAATATAGTCATTAAGAAGAATGAGTCACTTCCATGTGTCTGAGCTCTGCCAAAACTCAACCAGCTATGGAAACTTATGCAAATTGCTTGATCTCCTTGGGCTTCAGTTCTTCATCTGTAAAATTGGGTTAATAATATTACCAACCATATTGATTATACGCATGTATATAAGTATTTGTGTGAATGTATATGTAAACTACTTAGGACAGGTTCACAGTAAGCAAGCAATAAAAGTTAGCTAACATTATGATTATTGTTTGCATTCATATGAATCAATGTTCAAGACAAAAGAACGCAAAATGCAGAACAGCATGGATAGTGGGCTGCCATTGAGTAACAGATGCTTCCCATAGGCTAGAAGGATGCGCAAGAAACTGGCAGCAATGACAGCCACAAAGGAGGAGCTGGGAACAGAGTCGAGAAAGAGTTTTTCTTTTCACTCTTTTATATTTCAAATTTTATTGGATGCATACATTAATTATTCAAAACATTAATTAATTTAAAAACAGACACTTCAAAACCTTGATAAATAGGCAATACTTTTAAATCCTTGATTCCACAGGTATGGGTTTTAGAGGCTAAATGTAAGTGAGATTGGAAAATGTCATTAATTCTTGTTTCTTCATAGAATACGGCCAGTGCAGTTCAACTCTGATTTATGCGTCCTAAGCAGAGGTTGCCAAATTTCAGAATTCTGTTGTGCTATTGTGATAAAGATAAATGTACCTTCAAAAGCTATGATTATATTACTAAATTCACATTAACTTCTAAGATGTCAAGGCTTTAGCTGAGTTGTTGAGGGGTGTACAACTCTTCACCCATGTAACTCGGTTTTCCTCTAAACATATCTCTTACCAAGCTCATCTAAAATTATACCCACAGATAGGTATTATGAAGATATGACTGCCCCCAGATCCTATCAAGTCCCTTAGCTGGGACCATGTTAGCAACCACTTACAAGTATGCATAACCCCAGACTCTCTAACATGTTACCCGGCAAGATATGGTAAAGGGAACCTAATCCACTTCCTTTCTTTTGCAGTTCCACCTCACGCCCCAGGACACTTGGGTGGGTGAGACACTTGTTTGTTCCCTTTATCTAAGCCACTGTCTAATACTTTGGTTCCAGTTATTCCTGCTTTTTTCTACCTTGACTATTGAGATTGAGATCGTTCCATTACCTTCACACATCTTGCCGGTTCTGCTATGAACTAGGTTACTTTGCTTAAACCCAAGCTCCCAGTTTATACTTCAGGCCATTAACCTTCCAAGAGGCCAAGTTCTGCATATTTCCAAAGTCTCACTACAATGTGCCATAGCACCTCCTTCACGCTAACCATTGCCAGCCTGGAATCCCCATGAATATTTGCTCCCCAATTCCATAACGTTCTAGCTACATATCCAAATAGTGTTGTATTACTCTCCCTGAATGCATCATACACCCTAGTATGGAAGATACATCTAATTAATATCCTTCTGACTCTTGTTATGACAGAAATTTGAAAACCATTTAAACCTTATTCAGAAAACTGCCTTCTGTTGCCTCAAAGTGTCACAAGCCATATCCAATCAGGCACTGTCATTACTCTCAGAGATGAGGGGAATAGAGAAGATTCACTGGTGGGCATGATTTCAGGTTGTAAGTATATGGCTTTGCATGAAAATTTGATCATTTTTGCAAAGTAAAATAGCACCATCCTCCCAGAAGAAATTAATAGTTACAAAATTTAAAAAAAACTGGAAACATAAAATCATGTTAGTTTAAGATGGATAATAAATAAGAGCATGGTTGTTCTTCCTTCTATTTTTCTTCACTATCTCTCTTTCTCATAAAAATGCAAATTACAAAATGGGTTGATTTTAAATATTAATTTTCTGAAAAATTTGCATCTATGCCATTTTTGAAAGTTTACTTACTCTGGTTATTTATTTTATAAACTGAGAAAAAAGAAAGCTAGAGACATTAGCTGAAGTACATGAAAATTATTTAGGCCTCTTATTCTTCAAAGTAGTCCTATTCAAAACATTAAAAAAAGATTTTCTGAAATAAACAAGCCAAGTTGTATTCTTATTCTAAATAATTTATTCAGAAAAGTTACTTATTCATTTTTCCACAGAGGTTTATTTCCTGTTATTAGATGGTTTGGGTTATTTAGTTCTTCTTAACTTGTCTCACTCAGCTCTTTTCTTGTAAGGCCAAAAAGGCAACAACAAATATAGTCAAACTTATGTCTCCTTGCACAATATTTCAGCTCCTCATATCTGATAGAAAAGCATCACTGTGTTCATACCTTTACAGTCCCATCTGTGCTGCCAGTCAAAAGCCTTGTCTCATTTGCATCAAGGGCCATAGTGCTGATTTCTGCATTTCCATGGCAACCAGTAAACTGTTTGATTTTCCGCCCAGTGTCTATTGTCCAGAAGGAAACCGTCGACCCCACATCAGAGCTGATTACCTAAGAGAAAATAACATTGCAAAGAAATTAAATATAGTTCCAAAATCTACTATTTTTATTTAATAAAAATATCCAACCTATGCATTTTCAGTACTGAGATCTTCCAACAGTTAGAGATGTTGTTATAATGTGTTTTCTTTCTTTTTGTTAAGCTGATAACATTTTAATTTCTAGGCCCAAACTAAGATAATAAAGTCATGATTCTCTTTATTAGAAAAGATAAGAATCTACTTTCCATAACCACCATTCAGCTTAGTGTCTTGAGGCCATCATGAAATCGAATCCTACTGAAAATAAACTTATAAATCTTTTGCATTTAAATGAGAAAGCTGATTTTATCAGTCATGGTGCTCTGATACTATTTACTATATAAAAAAACATTTTATTACATATCAGTTTCCATTTAACATTCAAAAAAGAAAGCACTACCAGCCATTATGGGAAAAAGTTAATTTCAACAAATTGCTAGACCTATTGCTTTTAATGTCATTAGGCCTTTTCTTCCTCTTTTCTCGTGGTACTGTGCATATTTTTACAGCTAAACACAATTACTGGTGGGTCACTAAAAAGAAAGAACACAGGAAGGTTAAATATAAATCTGCATATAAAATCCAAGAGGAAGGCAACAAAAAAATGCTAGTAAGGCTAGAATTATATATAATAGTTCAACAGTGAGAAGAAATTTTATAGTGGCAAGTAGACTGCTAATTTCAGCTAGAAGCATTTAAGTACGCTTTAAGAGATTTATAGGTTTAAACCATCTTGCCAACATGACTTTAGGACCCAAAAGAATCAAAGAAAAAGAAAAAATTCTAAATATGCAAATGTGTACGTAAGAAGTTGCCTGAAGCAACATCTACTTCGAGAAAACTTCAAAATTGTCTTTACCTGCTTAAGTACTGATTACCGTTGGACACATATAAATTTATTAAAAATATATTAAATTTGAGTGTCATGCTTTCATAATTAAATGGGTTAAAGTTTACCTAATGTATATTCAAAAGGCCTGGATGGTTGGCCCATGCATGCATTCATTTTAGAGACACACACTGAACATCTACTCAGTGCCCAGCACCATGATGGCAGTGGGTTCATTGATGAATCCCTGCTCTTAAGGAGTCTGTAGTCTAAGTTGTACATTAAAATCACCTGTGGAACCTCATAAACCACGATTGCATACCATGCCAGAGCCTCAGATTTAATTGGACCAAGGGGCATTTTTAAAAGAGCTTTCCAGGTTATTTAAGTGTGCAACCTGGGTTAAGAACTACTTGTCTAGATGGAGAAGCAGACAAGAAACATAAAATGCCAAACAATGGTACAAGGTTAGAGGTATCAATCATGGTGCTGTGGGGCACAGAGAAGAAATCTAAAATCCACTCACCGGATGGGGGATGAGAAATAAAGGGTGAGGAGAGTCAAACCGGGATTGAAGATAAGAACATGTATTTATTGAGTGCTAAGACCTTTACATTCACTACCTCATTTGATCTTTATAAAACTCTGTAAAATTAATAATGCCAGCACCCTCATTCTACCAGCGATGAAACTGAGATTCTAATCAGCTAAGTACTGTTCCCAAGCTTATATAATGAGGTTTGAATCATGGGCTGCCTATGACAGACATATCATAAGGCCTTCCTCTGTTTCAGCTTAGCATCCCAGACAATTAAGAGTATGCTTAGAACAGAGAACTTGAAGAATATTTCAAGATTGAGAAACAATAAGAAATTTAATGGAGCTACAGTATATATGATGGGATAAATGATGGAATATCAGGTGAGAAAACTAGCTGGTGACAGATATTTGAAATCCCTGACAAGCAATGCCAAAAAATAATGAGTAAGGTGTATAAAGTTCTTTTTACTCAGAAAGGGTCTATAGCTTTCATTGGATTATCAGTAGATGTGTGATTCAAAACTAAAAAAAAAAAAAAAAAAAAAATTAAGAACATTTTCATTGTTCTTAATAAGGAGAGTGAAATAGCATTTTTATTTATTTATTTATTTTTATTTATTTATTTTTTATTTATTTATTTTTTTTTTGCTGGTTCGTGAAGAAACCTCAGGCAACAGTGTGGAGAACAAACTGGGGTTGTGGGAAGACCATCTGGAGGCTGATGTAATAGTCCAGGTAAGAGATGCTCACCTAAAACAGTTCTGGAGGTACAATGGAGAGGAGGGACTGGGAAAAATGGGCCACCATTTAGCAACATTTATGTCTCAGCAAAGAAATGATCCTGAGCACATGATTTCTCGTTGCCATTTTTCCTGACATTAACATTCTGAATCAGATAATGTCGTAAGTAATGTAATATACTATTTTTGTTATACATTTTCTCTCAGTGAAATCAAAGGTAGCTTAAATATTTACTACCTCTGTTAAAGATAGTGTAGTTTCTAGGACAAATAACCTGGGCCATTGAATTAATATGACGTACTACTTCTATTATCATTCCATGTAACTGTCTCTTTTGTTTTTGTTTGTGCAATATGCATAGTAGTTAAGAGCAGTGGGTTTGGAGCCAGGATGCCTGAGTTTGAATGTCAGTTGTCTGACCTTGGGCTCATTATTTAACCTCTCTAAACTTTAGTTTCTTCATCTATAAATCAGAGAGAATCATAGTAACTATTTCAAGCTGTTTTTAAGAGGTTTAAATAAGCTAATATTTATAAAGCACTTAGCACCGTGTAGGGCATACAATAAATAAGCCATAAAAATTAGCTAGTGTTACTATTTCATTTAAGCTTTATTTTTCTGACCCTTTATTTGGGCTGATATCACTTTTTGTATCCAAATCAAATTAAGAAAAATATTTAATGTCTTGTTTTCTTCCAACTATGACAGGGTATATAGAACATTACAATTTTAAAAACCAGATTTGTAGATGTACATTAAGATTTCAAATTATTAATACTTATGAATTTCTCATATAGTAACTTAGGAATTGGGATTGTATTCATTAAAGACAAAACTATAAAAACAATTTTCCAAGCATGGGTAAAAATTTTGATAGTGGTATTTTAGGTAGTGAAGAATTTTATTATTTCCATTCAAAAAGCATTTATTGAGTACTTATTGTATGCTAGGCATTTCATTACTAAAAGATGAGCATTCCCTGACAGAAATTAAGAAATCAAAATTAAATAAGGTTACGTACAGAGAGAAGACTCGCTTACTTGTTCAAGACTGGCTTCAGCCGCATTACAAAGCTTCTCATCATCCACCCCACCACTTTTACCTAATATAGACATTCAATCAAGAATTAATAACATTCATGTTTTGCTGCTTTGCACTCTCCCTCCTCTGCCCACCTGGCTGAGCCCCAACATATTATTCATCAGTTTTCATCACCTTTCTGCGCTCATTTAACAATTTCTTATGAGATCTGAATCAATAATGACAACGGTGTAGAGCCAGTCAGATTTCATTTTATGGCAATCTGCCTTAAGGTACAGGCTTCTGGAAAACAATGTGTTGAAAAACATGGACTGACTATGTCACAACATACAACCAGTATTAACCAGAATCTATTGTCACTATGACAATGTCAGAATACAACGATAACAAGGCAGGTGAAAAGACTTTCAAAGTTTGGTGAGAGAGGAGTGTATTTAACATCACTTGGCAGCTGAAGGAAATGGTTTGACTACAGAATGGAGGAAATTTTATTTTTAGCAAGCTGTTTTTATTGCTAATAAAGCCCAGGATGAAGTATCAGCATCATATTTATATGCCACATTTTGATGATATCAAATCTCTTCAGGTTTTCAGTTCATTCCTGCCTAATGCTCTTCAGATGAGACCTTAGCCAATGCAAGCAGGGTCTTTATAGACTGCAGAGCAGAAATGGCCCTGTTCTAGTAACAACACTGCAATGCAATGGGCCTTGTAAGCAAATCATTATTTTGTTGGGAGCACGCTCCACCTTATGTACCTGAGTAAATAACTGGTTAGAAATATATGAGTCTTTTTATCTTTCTCATCTGAGGCTGTCACAGCCAATCAGACAATCCTAAAAGATGTGACACTTTATGTCCCCTAATTGTCTTCTTGTTATTCCAACAAGAGTAGGCATTTTAGTTGTCTTTTATATGCATCACAAGTCCTACGTCTAAGCAAGAAGAAGGATCAAAAATTACAGCAGCAGATGTCACTGGCTACAAGAGATCAGGACATTTGATTTAATTGCTGTTTTATAATTTTATTTTTTCAGTCAGTGCTATTTCTGGTCTCATAATATAGAGCAAGTTACCTCCTTTATTGCTATTTTGCATCAAACCTCAAGAAGTTACATCTCAGTAAGTAGCAAGGTGAGGAGAATAATATCTCAGAGTACTGGTACAGACAAAGGATTCAAATACTTTAAGGCAATCATTCTGTTTATAAATCTTGTTTATTTGATATCACCTCTTCTTAGATTAATTTCTAATTTACTCTTTCTAATTCATTCCTTAAATTTATGAAATACCTACAATATGTAATGCACAAGATCTAGGCACTGGGGACACAGCAGTGAAATATTCCTGCCCTTACACTTAGTGGGGGAAGAGCAAGAGGGAGGCAACCAGATTAGAAAAAAAGTATATTTCTCTCTATATATACATATATATGTAATCATTATAAAAAATATATAACTGAGAAGGAGGTAGAGATCATTGGAAGTGGGCGCAAAGTTGGGGGCTCTGGGAAGGCTTCCCTGAGGTATCATTTGAGGAAAGACATGAGTGAGATGAAGGAGAAAGCAATGCAGGTACCTAGGTGAAGAGATTTCCAGACAAAGGAAACTATGATGCAAAGGCCCTAAGGCTGAGTTCCTTGGCATGTTCAAGGACTAGCAAGGAGGCTAGCAAGGCTGAGGCAGTGTGAGTGAGGGGAGGAGCCATAGGCTGTGACCCCTATGGTCATTATACAGGCAGTCAAAACACTTCCAAAATCACCAGGCACCTACAAGAATCAGGAGACAAAGTCATCTCCCCTTTCTTGACTAATATTTATTT